CAATTGGTGCACAATGTCTTGGTCTTTCAACCGTTTCAGCAAGACAGTAGATATCTCAATAGTGAGGGAACTCGGATTACATGTCAACCAGGCCCCTTGCTCGATCTGCATTAGTGTGCGAACATTAAAGATTGTCAGCCGAAAGATGCATCGGGTCGAAGGATCACCACATGCAAAACTTTATGGGCAGTGGCGTAACCGTCAGTCAGATTAATCGGGAATAACAGGGATTAATCACAGAATAATGGTTGGCGTATTATTATGTGTTATGGAAACAGGAACGAGAGAGTCCAGCGAAGTAGCAGTGTAACGCCTGATTTTCACTGCGAGCACAATAATACCCGGTATCCAAGCCGAAGTAGGGAGTTAACTTAGAGGACACCACGCCTACGCAGGAAATCGCTCCCATTAGGAGCCGGTGACCAATCTGTCGGTTCATACGCCTTCTGTTTAGCACGGTACAAAACAGGACCTTAATTTTCCTCACATCCCACTGATAGAATACAATGCTCCACCAAGGTGAAGCAAGGAGCAGTGGACGTATTTCGTGGTGAGCCACATCCATGGAGTCGTAGAGTTGTTAAACAGAAAATTGTAGCTTTTTATGGGAAGAACGTTTGCCAAACGAAAACCAATCATGCGCCGGCATACTGACGCCGAACTGTTTACTGGAACGAGAATAACCTGAACCAACCAGCTGACACCAGGGAAGATTGTTCGGCAAACCACCGCGTTGTTGACTTACAAGTGCAAGCTTGGTTGTTGTTGTTGTTGTTGTTGTTGTTGTTGTTGTTGTTGTTGTTGTATACCCTAACCTTAGATTGTAGCAGTTGTAAAATAATACCCCGAGAGAAAACATTCGAAGTAGAAAGTAGTGAACTAGCTACTTTTCATCCTCAGGCTGGTACAATCACAACAATGTGGATCGACAATGAACACGTGAATTATAGGCGTCAATAAAACAAATATTTTCATCAATAAGGCTAGGGGATTAGCCAGACCTGTGTGGAGTCGAAATGGCGTAATAGGTATGATTACTCGGGTTAGTCCGAGGTCAGCGTAGACAGAAGATCTGCACAAACTTCTTCTGCGCACAATAGTCCGGGTTATGGAACCGAATTGCGATTGTCTCTACTATCGACAGCAAGCGGCATCTGACAGCTCACTGGATAGGTTGGAATGCATCATTTGAGTTTATTTTGAGGTTAGAACCCACTAACTGTGACAATACTGCACTCGTCAGGTCCTTCCTCATACCACTGTATAGCCAAGTTGGACAATCCTCTCGAGCTCTTACGGACAGTCACCTGGTCCTTTTTCCAATATACCTTGCTCCATACGAGTAAGAGCAATTATTCACACTTAATGAAATTTGCGGCCGAGGTATTCTGTTTGAGCTGCTAACGCATAATTGGTATGTATGTGCTAGTAATACTAATACTAATACTGCTACTAATAATAATGCGTCAGCTGTACATCGTAACGACGCTTCGCTGCCGCGCGACTACCATCAGTATGCCGCGAGAACGCCCACCCCTCGCGAATTCGGATCGGTGACCTTATGATTACAAGCCAGGCGTGCAGACTACTCAGTTACCGACCGACGTGTTGAATTGAAGCTTATGCGTAAGTCGGTCACAAAGCATGTTTTGTGTGTGGCTAGGGTAGGCTTAGTGGTGGTTCCCTCTGCTATCGCGTCACCCTTAAACGGTAACGATAAGTATATTTAATGCTTATCTACGGAAACAGATTTCATCTTTCATACTTACGGTTCATTGTGTTTCTGGATAAACTTTTATGGGCATCCATTACGTTGAAACACGCTTCGGATGAAACGTAGCTCATCAGAAAGCGTACCTTCCGTGTATATTTGTCTCGCTCTCTCCGTGAGACAACAGACAAGATTATGTTGCTGGCTGATTGGAAAAAGAAATACGGAACTGGGAGTGTTGCTCATTCAAAATTCCCTTTCTGTGCACTCTCCTCCTCCGTATTGTCCCGTCTGATGCTTTATTGATCTGGGCGTGTCAAAACGCCAACTAGCCGTCACTTTCTATTTCGAGAGTAAACCTTATGTTGTTATGCGCGGAGCGGAGGTGGGCCGGCAGATATGCAATACCCACCCCATCGTCCGCAACACAAAAGATGTCATCTACATATAGACCACAATAGGCCAAACTGTTGGTGGACTCCTTCAAATAGTTTCTCTCCAATTTGCTCATGAACACATTCGCGAGTAACCGGCCTAACAGCGAACCTATGGCCACCCCGTCTATTTGGGATCCATTAAATGGAAACTGGATGATTTTCGTGCATGTCAGTAATCTATATGTCTTAATCTATATTGTGGGCTGCCGACGTTGATGTTATGCAACTGGATGAACTGGAATAGATATTCTACGGTCTCTTCCAATAGAACATTGGTGAAAAACGATACCACCTCCAGTGAAAACATTTTCCGCCCGGTTATTTCAAGGTGCCTCACTGAGTCGAGAAACTCAAAAGTGTCTTTGAGGCTGTACCTGGCTATGGCTTTTCGGACTGATTCCAGCCGATTGACAAGCCACTTGTGGTTGTACTAGCCTGATGATGATTCACTGAAAACCAGGTTGTTTGCTACTTTCTATTTCTAATGACCGCTGGTGTTGCAGTGGGGCTTGGATAAACACATGCTAGTATTTATCTTATTCTTCAGCCTGTTTGACAGGGGAATTGGTTTTCTACTGTACTTCGGATAGCGAATGTCTTTCTTGTGCTGCATCCGTATCTTAACGTCATAGAAAAGGACTGACAGCGTCACTGGATTCTAAGCGATTAATGTGAACGTGGTGTCCCAGCTTAGCAAAAACAGCGTTCACTATCGATACGCAAATATGTTAGTCGCGAATTATTCGTAGGTGTATTGCTACTGTAGTTTCCGTTTGGCAGGCTTTGACTCCATCTGAAGCACTGTCAATCCGCATTGGCTGTGAGCACACCGAGTTCATTCCAGTTCTTGAGTGAAAAAACACTCAAATTCTCATCTGCACTCACTCATGTTGAGACTCGAAGTTAGCCCCTTACGAAATGATTCCCATCATCATGTATTGCAGCTCGTTCACGTTGAGTGCGGGATACACGCAGTCATCTGAGCAGAAAACATGCAAACGGTTGTTTCACAAGCTGGGTTTGAATCGACGAGTGTTCAACAGCTCAACACTCGCGCGGTCCTTGGAGTATACTGCACATTCCCATGCACCAACTACACAAAGCGCCAGTATCAGTTAGATGCTAAGAATCCTGACCTAGGCCGCAGTCTCGCCTCACAATTGCGACAACATCAGGTTCATCAGCGAGCCGTTCACGCAGTTGTACACTGGCAGCTATACCGCAATGCAGACGCATAGTCAACCGGACATACTCATCCCTGCATCCGCACTAATCAAAAACCGGCCATTGCACATCAACGTGCACCGTAACGAACGCCTTGGTGGTCGATGTTTCGTTCTTGGCACTTCTACGACAGTTCAAGATCTGAGAATACCATGTCAGTGGAGCTTCGGTCTGAGCGAGAGCTGCATTGTTTTAGAGGTACTTTGGGTTTCAGCGTTTGAATCACGGTGCGCAGCTTAGCAAGTGGACGTTACCTTTACTGTTGGCGCATTACTTGTTCTTCCTCACGGCGGTAGCACAAAGGTATCCTTCAATCTAAACGCTTTTCACCGAATAGTGCAACACGTTAGTCATCAAGAGTTCAACATTCTTCAAATCGTAGGCGGTGTTTCATCCCTATCAGCACGAGTACCATTTTACAGCCGAGCAGCTCCTTTCTCTGTTTCACTTGCTCTTACGGTCACAGGAGTTTCGTCCCTTACACTATGCCGTTACATCCTATACGACCTGCTCAGGTCAACTTCTGAGCGGTTGCTCAGAAGGCCATTCAAGTCCATGCTGCTCTGTTTCTGCAGGCAACGGATGAGTTACGCTAGATGGTTGTTCCTCATATATATATGTATATATGATATATATATATATATATATATATATATATATATATATATATATTGCAACAGTCTATGAATGGACATTGAGCCATCGGAAACCATGGAACTCAAAACAAGGTACAGAACTAGTAAAAGAAAACACAACACATCAAAGTCTATAGTCTCGTCAGAGGGCGAGATACTACCCTGTTGCCGAAGCTGAAGTAGGGTATTGACTTAGGGGACACCACCCCCGAGCCTTTGGCTGAATAGCCTGCCCGCAAGACAGCGGAGCGGATTCAGAGAATCGCGCCTATTGGGAGCCAGTGACGGATTGTTCAGTTCATACGCCTTTCGTTTGTTGCTTTGTCAAACAGGGACCCGATACTCCCAAAAATTACAGCATAGACTTGTTGGAATGCAATGCTTCGCCAAGATGAAGAAAGGGGCAGTGACTTTATTTAGCGGCGAGTCACGTCCGCCACGTCACAGTGTTGTTAAACGGACATATATGGTTTTTATACGGAGAACGCTTGCCATGCGAAAACCCACCACATCCTGGAACACTGCTGCCGAACCATTTGCTGGAACGGAAAAATCCCGAACCACCCAGCTGGCACCACAAGGTTGTTCGGCAAGCCAGCCGGTTGTTCATCAGCGTCCAAAATTATTGTATGATGAACCACTGCATCGATTTTAATGAGCGGAACACTCCATCTTTCGCCTGCCATGCATTTCTAGTGAGATGGAACTTTGGCATTAGCTTTGAGCGCGCCCCTAGAAATTCGCTTCTCTCCTTTGCGTTGTCCAAGCCACGTTCACATGCAACAAGTGCCAGCTTCATGCTACGGTCGTTACTCGACACGTGTACTAGTGAGTCTGCTGATTGTCACCTTGATCTAGTGTTTGTCCAGGGGTATCAAATTTTATAAAAAACGCCTAGCAGATCTGCTTGAGGAATTAATTTTCCGTAGTTCTTTGAAGCACCAATCGTCTGTGACATTCAACCGCTCACGTGCTATTGGTCTGTTGCGTTCAGTCAATCAATACCCTCATTCGAACGCCTGTCATCGAGCCTAAGGCGCTGATTGGGCACGGTTATCCGTCATGTTCGCGCATACCCTTGCCCACCAAGATGCCACTGCAGGTGGATGGCAATCCTCAAATCAGACTGCAGATGAAAACAACCAAACATCAGCTACGCTTCTGACACCTAATCCACTTGACTTCCACCATAGTTTGGAGTATCCGGAATCCACATTTTTCCGAGAATTCACCCAAACTGCTGATTCTGATATTACAAAGGGAGCACTATACCTGGTGGTTTCTTTGTATAACTCACTCAGTGGACTTCCTAGTGGTACTGTCAAGGAAAGAACCTCATTAACTATGCTTAATGAGTCCCCGTTTATTGGTTGGCTCAAGCGTGTTGGGCGGTTTTCAGAATCCACCTTCAGCGGAATCCATCAGCAAGCGTTCTTCACCATCTCTTGCAACCGACAGCAAATGACTGTTGATTTGTACAGAGAGCGCTTCATCCCACATCTACTCGGAACGCTAGGAAAAGAGGCAAAGTTGCCACGGCTGTGCGCCAAGAAGTGCCTGGAGTCAATGGCACTTCCGATCTTCCGATCCACACGAACTAACAGCTGTTCCGGTGTGAAGTCCAAAATTGTGGTTGACTTCACAATCATAAACCGCGCGCTGTTTACACTGTCTCATGGTCTGCGTATTCAAAATCCAGACGTAATCGGAGAGGTGATGTCACCCAACTCTATCTTTGAATCTTCCGGTTAAACCAATTTACTTACCAGAATGGCATCATGAGGCATCTAAATCAGCCCATTTCATAACAGAAATGCAAGAGTGATAGAAATTCAACAGTGGACAATTTTCGACATTCACCAGCCTCATGTTAAAATCTCGAGCAAAGCATGTGTGCAACACTGAACTGGAAATTTATGCATTTAAACCTCATGCGTGTGGAATCATGTCAATCGGTAATGGGGAATTTAGTGGAGGCGGACTATGGGTGATCGCGACCCTGTAAGATGATGTGATCAGTTCTGATGTGATCAGTGTCAAAGTATACAGGTGTCCCCGTGAAATGCTAGCCTGGCATTTAGAATAAAACTATTTCTGAAACACTTGCCTTCTTTCCAAGTTTCATTGTTGGAAAGCTAAAGAGTGAGACTACATTAAATAGCTCAAAAAAGGAGATCATGCGGTGTTCATTCTCTGTATCTCATCGCCTAGCTGTAGCCACTTATTTTACGCCATTTCCTTCGATTATGGATGCAATTTTGTGACTGGATTCGGTCAATCCGCAGTGCGTTGCCGGCATTCGCCTAAATCAGAGGTCACAAAACTGTTTGCACTGCCGGTCGGATATGTAGCATGGGTAAATACCACGGAGCGGATAGCTGAAAAAAGTAAATGGCGCTGGCTGGACAACTGACCCCATGATTAGCGTGTGCAGCATAGTCATTTTGCATAATACTTGCAAGCCAGAATGAAATATGTGGAAAATAGAGAAAAAGTGACACTCGGGGCAGCAATTGCAGAAGCGGCAGGCGCCGATAGATTGTACTCCATCGACAGCGAGCGCGTAATGCTGTAGCACATGCGGACGCGAGTGCCTGAGTCAGGCAGGCCTAGTAAGCCATGAGCGAAGCCACTCGGGACCACTACGGAAGCGACGACGGGTCCTGCAGAGAACGTAGGTAGAACCAGCGCAGTGTTTGTAGGTACGCTGCGTTCGATTTACTAATCGCGTGCACGCAAGCTGACTCTCTTTATTTCAAGTGGTGGGTTGGCCATATTGTCCAAATGATTTTTTATCTCATCTTAATGTCTACTTAAACTATCTTCTATAAACTTGCACAAGTCGGTTAAACGACTGTGGCACTTTCTTAAGATATATTTTCTGACAAATCGAATATTTCGCGGATTTCTTTTGCAACCAACTTATTTCAGACGCTCCTTTAGCGAACAGTAATGTCACCGTATCTGTATACATCATACGATTATTTGATATCGTTGTTTCAAGTGATTACCTGTTGTTTGACATCCCCGGTGTGGCTGCGCAGGATGTGCACGTTGACAAGCTGCCTACCTGCCTATTACCCACTACCTCGTCCATACTGGCTCAAGAAGACAGTTAGTCGTTGCTGGAGGGACGGGGTGCACGGTCGTTGTGGCCGTGCTGGGATCGAAGAGTCGTTCCATGCACTCAGTGTGTAGCGGATTACGGTCCAGCCACCGCCTTGTGCGCATTTGATTCCCCAAATACAACGTGCTTGTGTTTGCCTGTGAAGGAGTGTGGGCCGGCTCCGTTGATGAAACTTGGTCCCCATCCGCATGCCTCCCGGTCTTATTCCTTCGGGTTTACACTGGATATGGGGTGTGTGGTTGGAGCTGTGGGTGGTGAAGCGCAAGCACCCGTTGTCCCTCTGTAGACGCAGGCGTCCTATGGCTGGCCACAGTGACAGGCAAATCCGAAACCGGATGCCGCCAACCGCTATTGCAGACAATCCCATGTGATCTATCCTTTCGCCGAGGGCACCAATGAACTTTACCCGTACCTCTGGTAAATCGTATTTCCGCCAATGACCAATAGTCCTCTGTTATTTTTTGTGGTTTACTAGGGTTAACACTGTGTTGGTACTTTAATACCCTTAATTTGTTCAGAGCCCTTTTATTTCGGCCTTCACTAAGGCTACTAAGAAGAGGGTTTCCTCTTGCACGTCGGCAACTTCCTTCGGGAGCTGCTCGCGCCATGTACGCCGATCAACCGCTTTCCATTCCCAAGACTTTGATCACGTCCTACACTATATATATATCTACTTGGCGGCGAAGGTATTGGGTGCCTACAAGGGGCTCACATATTGTTGTATCAGATCCTTAAAAAACCAACCACACTTGCCATCATGTTCTGAAACACAGCCAAAACACATGTCTGAGGGACCACCAATCTAAGGTGCCAACACACTACAGCCCACTGGAATGTCGACGAAAAGTTTTCTTCTTCCGAATGTCACAGCCCTGACTAGAACACTTTCCAGGCGCATGGAATTAATGACCCACCTAATCACTTTCAAAAAACGACTCGACGACACATTGACATATTTACACTACGTGACATAGCCCCTGATCACCAGATGATGGCAGTAGTGTAGAACAAACAGTGGGCCGTGTCAGTCCTCGTTAGACTACAGGCAGGGCTCCTCACACCATCGTCTTTAAATATTTGCGTCAGGGATAGAATGGCTGCTGAAAGTTAATTAATATGGATTAAAAACAGTAGCGGGCTGAAAACGAATCCTTGCGGTACCCCACTGGAGACGCACAGGCTTTCAGAGTGAATGTCGGCTACTCTTACCTTGATTGCTCTGTCGTGTAAGCATTCTTCTAATCAGGTGAGCAGGGAACCGTTGATACCGTAGGCAGTAAGCTTTCGGTGAAGAAACAAATGATCGACTCAGTTGAATGCTTTAGAAAAATTCAGGTAAATCACATCTATTGGGACTCCTTCATCAGCCGCCCTGGTCCATGTGTCCCGAGTAAGCAGCGAATTAGTGAGACAAGATCGTCTGCGTCGGAAACCATGTTGGGCATTAGAAATTATCTGTTGACTTTCAAAGCATCGCGTTAGTTCATCTGTGATTACCGATTCCATCAATTTTTATAAAAGAGGTAGGAGAGTAATAGGTCGGTAGTTGACAGAATCCGATAGCTTACCTCCTTTGTAAATTGGAGTGATAATTCCATTTTTCCACTCGGATAGGAGTGTATGGGGGACAAGCAGACCATGGAAAAAGGCTGCAAGTGGTGCTACCATGTTGGGAGAAATGGTTTTATGTACTGCTGGGCAAATCAGGTCGATTCCAGGGGCATTGTATTCCCGGAGAGACTGTAATTTGCTTGCAACAACTACTGGGCTAATGGTGACGCTTGATAAGCCAACAACATTTGTTGGGAGTTGATAGGGCGAAGGTTCCATGGTATTTGCAACTACCAAGCCAAACTGCAAGAGTAGTGCGTTCGCGGCATCCACAGCAGTAGTTGTTAGGCCACTGGCCGCCTTAAGTGGTGGCATTCCGGACTTCATCTTTCTTTGCCGTTCACATATCTGCAAAGCAGTTCGGTGTTACTCGTAAATTTCAGCACCATGGTGTTGCCATTAGTACTTATCGACTCTAAAAAGCGACGTACAGTAAGTTCTGATTGCTCTATAATTCTACCATGTGGTATCCCATGGGCGTAGCTAAGGTTGCCTCTGGATCTCATCTCTTCTGTTAATCCATTTAAGTGCACTGTTTCGGATCCACGTATTGCTCTGGCGCTCTGCTCGTAATGGTACAATGTTTGAATACGATTCATTCCATGCGTCGTTCGCTAAACTGTGCATCTGTAGGTCCCAGTCAATGGTGGTCACTAAGTTGTGCGGCTTAAAATAGTTCGTAATAGTCCGTTGAATTTCTCTTTCTTTATCAAAAATACTGGCATAACCCACATAATCAAATGTTAGACTGATGGTCTCTACGTCCCAGTGGAGGGTCGTATGCTATTGACTCAACCATCAACTCTTCATTAGACAGGATTAGGTTCAGGAGTGATGGCTCGTTTGAACCGCGGTGTTTGGTTGGTCAATGCGCACGTTTGTACAAAACTGCCATGTCCAGGAGTTCAAAGAGTTCGATTTAACTGATGACCCATAAGAGGACACTTATGCTATTGAAGGCATATTTAAGTCATCCATTATAACAGTGAGTACTTTTGTGAAACAGCATAACGTAGAGCATTTGACAGAATGCCATCGCTGTCTGCTGACGAGCTCGGAGGCCTATAGATAGCTGCTAAGAGGCAAGCATCAGGCGTCTCCTGTGAACCGACATCTCGACCTTCTATGTGCAGTCGGCAAAATAGTGCGCCCGGAATAACAAGGAAATTTTCCGTAAGTACCTCAAATTTTAACTGATCTTGATAGTACAGGGCAACACCGCCACCGCGATATTGACGATCATTTTGTTTGAGTAACATCTCACTAAGTTCAACCTCTGGACCAAGTATGTCACTTGAAATCCAAGTTTCAGTGACTGCTATGAGGTCCAAAGTTGTTGTTTCATGCCGATGGCGCTGTTCCGAGAGTTTAGAAGGTGGCCCCTGAGTGTAGGTGTAGCAGCATTGTATTTGTTGACGCATTATAAGCTCAGTTTGTTGTGATTGACCGGCACAAATAGTGCCGGTCTGCTGAAGTTTTTGTAAACAGGTGTCTGCACGGTTGGCTGATCTAAGAATGGTAGAACTGAGACTGGCTCATCTGTATCTGTGATCTGTACTAATTGTAGGGATGGCCTTAACCGTAATTCTGGTGGCCCAAGTTTCCTGTTGTCATGCCGTGCTTGGATCGTCACTGATACCATTTCGGGCGCAGCCAATGTAATTTTCAAAATTCGTGGCCCGCTGCCTTGGTAGTTTGTGGAGGTAACTACACGGATGACGTCAAAAGTCACAACATTTTGCATGTTGTAGAGCTCTGTGATGTATCTCAATTCTTCGATGTCGTGCTTCTGTCATTCACTGCTATCGTCATGCTTCACTTCTGGTACCCCATGCACCACTACCACATTCGTCATCTCATTTCGAGGTGACGCATTAGGTTTGGATTTCCGTTCCTGTCTTTCTGCCCATGACCTGTTAGGAAAAATGCGGGCACTGACAGAAGAGTTCACTGGAGTGTGGCTTGCTAAGAGAACATCTTCCAAGTCGCGTGTATTACAAACGTTACTCGCGATAACCGAGGTTCCCCTATGTGTGGAGATGGTGGACTTCGTGAAAGGTCTGTATGACTAGTTGGGAGAACTCCCAGTCCTAGTGCCCAGGTTATTTCATCCCATCGGTTTTGTTCCTCATCTTGTCTACCTTTTAGCGGTTCGCCGGTGGGTTCTGGGACTTTTGAACGTACCACTGTTACCGCCTTTTGGTTGTGTAGGACCTGTTTGTTCTGCAGTTTCTTGTGAACGCATGTTTGTCAAGTGGGAGTGTCTGGCTTGTCTTCCGTTGACGACAGGTCAAGGTTACCGCAAGATCTTTTACGTGCAACACCGTCACTTGCACTATCTGAAGGAGTTAACTGTTGTGGCCCAGCTACCATCGGAGGTGATTGTGCAGTTTGTGTTTAACTCTGCAT